TGTGTGTGTGTGTGTGTGTGTGTGTGTGTGTGTGTGACAGAGGGGGGGGAGGAGAGAGAGAGTAGTTTCTCTGCTGCCTTTCCTAGCGAAATTCCTCAAAATTTTTCTAGCTTCTGTCTCCAAATGTTCTCAGCTTGTTTTCACTTTACATACTGCCCTTAGATTTCTGTACCACATCACACCAAAGCTATCAAAGCAATCCTAGAGGCTGTCACCAGGGGCCAGGCTAATTTCCCTAATTCTTACTCTTCACTTTACTTCACTTACTAGCGACACTGAACCCTGTTTGTTTGTTCTCCCCCTTTCCAATCACTCTCTTCCTTAGCTTCCATTGTTAATCTACTGGTTCTTTCTTTGTCTAGTGGACTCCTACTTTGATCGACTCTGGCCTTATTTGCTCAGCTTTCTAAAACTGGAGCACTGGGAGCTCAGAGCACGAATGCTTCTGCTTCAGCCATTCCTTTTATGACCTCATCTAGTCCTGTGACTTTTGACGGTGATCTGTATGCAGTCTTGCAAATGTTGTTCTCCAGGCCGAAAACTTGTGAAGCTGAAAATAAAAAGTTTAATCCCTGTACAAGCATCACTTCATTTGATTGACATTGGGCCTTTCCAGGGCCTTGGGCCTTGGATTTATCTTTGACACCCTCCTTTGTCACATGACACATAGAGTCTGCAACATACCCTGCCGCCTGTAGCTTAAATATGTATTCAGAGCTAGAAATGGTAGCTCACACCTATAATCCCAGCCCTTGGGAGGCAGAGGCAGGAACTTGAGGGTTCAAGGTCAACCTTAGCTATTCGGTAAATGTCTTAGTTTTCTATTGCTGTGATAAGATATCATTACCAAGGCAACTTAGAGAAGAAAGAGTTTATCCTGGGGCTTATGTTTTTAGAGGGTAGATTCCATGATGGCTAGGCAAAGGAATAGCTGAGAGCGCTCATCTTGAGAAACAACCAAGAGACAGACAGATACATACACACACACACACACACACACACAAGTGCTATGGGTGATTGGGGAGGAAGTGAAGATGAAGGAAGGAGAAGGTAATCAAAACATATATGGACTAATGAAGTTCCCAATAAAATTGGCAATCGATAAGGTGAGAAGAATCAGAGGCAACCTGATAACCACATCAGCCTCCACTCTCTTCTCTCACTTCTCTTTCTGTGGCCTCCCTGCTTCTCAATCCTTCAGTGGAACCTTGGCTCTGAGGACAGTTACCACTCAGGAGAACCTTTACCAGGTGCTGTTCTTAGCTGTATGACTGCCCTACATTGTTTCACGGAAACTATGCTTGTCTTCTTTGTCCAATGGGAACAAATGAAAGAGCTGTCAGGCCCAGGCCTGAGAGAGAGCATTCCAGCTACAGGCTGCAGGCAGCAGGTGCCAGTTGCTATTCTCACTCAGTAGGCCTCTAAATACTTGTAGTATCAGGAAGGTCTTATAAGCAGTGTGAAAGGATACTGTAGAGTGAGGCTAATAACAGCAGGGCCTCTGCAACTCTTCCTAAAGGTTCTAAAATGTAGAACTAGAACTGTAGTACTGACCGAAACATATGGCAGACCTTGAAGTTTTAGAGTATTTAACTTTTTCCCACAACTTCTAAAGGATAAAAGAAACACACAGCCACACACACACACACACACACACACACACACACACACACACACACACACACACCACACAAATTGGGCAGTCATCTACTGTGCAATGAATTCAGAGAAGTCAGAAATGAAGTGGTTTCTATGAAACACAGTAAATTTTATCTTGATGGCAAACAGGACAAAGGGACACTTACCCACAAAAATATATACCTGTCAAACTCCCTTTTTCAAAAAAGGGCAACATCTTTGACATTTAGCCCATTAAACATTGTTATAGGTCATGCACATAAAGGTGTTTCAACTCCCTGACAAACAAACATGCAAATTCTAGTTATCATTTCTTAAAATGCCTCCAGGTATGTTAAAGATACTCACATGCACACGTATCTCACTATCCTAAAAATGAAAACAGGCAAATCAATGGCTTTTTTTTCAACACAAGCTATTTTAAAAACTCACAGGGAGCAGGCAAAACAGCTTCTGAATTCTGAATTCTGAATTCACACTGACCTGCAATCTGTGGAGCCCATACTTCCTCTTCTTCATAGGGATACCCTCCTGGGCTGTACGGACCCCACATATTCCGAGTTACCTTTTCATCCTTCTGGGTGGCACAAGCCTGTTGTACTCAGGTGAGAAGACAGAGGAATTCTTCCCTATCACATGGGCAGAGGTGGTATTGGATTACCTTCTATCAGATAGATTATGGGGTTAAGGAACTTGATCAACTTACAGTCTGGGAGTGTTCAGACACCGTAATGCAAGCAAAGGGGTGGATGGCGGAGCACTAATGCTCTGCATTCAGGAGACAGCAAATTGAACAAAGAATGTGCTAGTTTTTTGGTTTTTTGGTTTTTATGAAACCATAACTGTCCAGGGACTATTGGTGAATCGGAAGTGGAGAGAGAGAGGTTGAAGCCATGATGTCTTTGGTAATGAAGACGGGCTGGCTGTGCCGGAGTTTGTCAGCCTGCATCTGCTATTTATAGCTCTACTGTTTACTCTGTGTCAACACAGCCATCTTGGGATTGGAGACGACTAACAGTTTGGGTTGATTTGGTTTAATTAGATGGGATTAATATGGCCACTGCACAGTTGTGTGGGAGGACCCATTAATTAATCATCTCAACTAGATGTTGCTGTTTTAGCGTGTAAAGCACTCTTCCCCCAGCTTTGGATTGAATTTATGCACTTGTACGACAACCTCTTTTCCCTCAGATTCCCACCAGAAGCCTGTAGCCCACACAAGCTCACAAAAGCAACTACTAATGAGCTGAAGGGAGAGCTCCACATCTGAGCTAAAACTAAAGGTGTCACTGGTGGTGAAGATGAGGAGGTACAATTCCTGGGTTCCACAGAAAGCCCTGCTCTCACCAACACAAGACAATGTGATCTGGTCCATTCTCTAGTTGAGGTTTCTACTTCCTAGATGACTTCAGGTCTGTGTCAAGTTGACAGCTGAATCTAATATGGCACCATTCATCCATCTGTTTGTCCATCCACCTGAAAAATGCTCAAAAGTGTGCCTATCTGTCCATTTCTTCATGATGTGCCTGGCACTGAGAACATGGAAATAAGCATGATACTGTTTTTCTTCATAGTATTGTATTAATAATAAAGAAAGAAGTAATTTTAAGACATTTTAAGCTACTAGAATGAGACCTTGCGGAAAGCTTTCCATCTCTTGTCCTTTCACTTGCCTGTCTTCTTTAGCAATGCTAGGCATTGAACCCAGAGCTTCATGAACACTAAGCAAGTGTTCTACACTGCCCCCACCAGACGTTGTGTGGGTGTCTTCATTTGGTTCTTAAAATTTAATCTCAACAGGGGAGAATGTAAATGCAGTCCCCACCACCACCACCACTGCCACAAATTGTGCAGTTGAGTTTATAGAAAATGCAAGGGTCAGCACATTTGAAGTGCATTGGATAAGCCTCGCCATGGGAAAACCACCTTCATTATCGTGGTCTCTCCCCTGCCAGGTAGTATGTATGTGTTTCTTCACCCCACCAAACTTATCTCACCTCTAAAGTCAAGCTGATAGTGATGTCTACCCTTTGGGGGTTTCAGAGTTAAGTGATATAATCAGTTGAAATGCCTGCCACAGCCTGAACAACAAATGCCAGACACTATTATTAGAAATAGCAATGGATATTAGGCTGAAGGAAACTTTATAGATAGGCTCTGATGGACACATTTAGATTGGCATATGCAGTAGACAGGGCTTTTAAGCCTCAGCTCTGTTCACAATTTCTTCAGAGATGGAACCCAGGGCCCTTGCACATGTTAGGCGAGCATCCTCCCTCTGAGTCACACCCCTAGTCCTATCTGTCCATAATTTGGTCTCAATAATTCTTCGTTGTGGGGGGCTGTCCTGTGTAGCGTGGGGTGGTTAGTGGCATCTCTGACTCTAAGCCGCTGCATCTCCTCTTCACAACTGAGACAAAACCTCTTCAGATGTTGTAGAGGGTCTCAGAGTGGCAAGATCACCCCATTTTGAGAATCTCTATAGAAAACAATTGGTTACTGCTTTGAAAACATATCATCTTTGTCATATCAATCTCTCTATTTGCCTACTTAGCTATATCCTGTGTAGCTAAATGATAAATTACACAATAAAAATGTCTTAAAATTACTTCTTTCTTTCTTATTAATACAATACTATGAAGAAAAACAGTATCATGCTTATTTCCATGTTCTCAGTGCCAGGCACATCGTAGAGAAATGGACAGATAGGTACACTTTTGAGCATTTTTCAGATGGATGGACAGACAGATGGGTGAATGGTGTCATATTAGATTCAGCTGTCAACTTGACACAGACCTGAAGTCATCTAGGAAGTAGAAATCTCAACTAAAGAATGGACCAGATCACATCGGCTTGTGTTGGTGAGATATTTTCTTAACTGCTAACTGATAGAGGAGGATCTGGCCCACTTCTGGCAATGCCATCTGTAGGCAGGTGGGCCTGACCTATGTAAGAAAGATAGCTGAGCAAACCAGAGGGAGCAAGTCAGCAAGCAGCATTCCTCCATGGTCTCCACTTCCTAATTCCAGGTTTCTGCCTTGAGTTCCTCCCTTGGCTTACCTCAGTGATGGAAGTGTAATGTGAAATGAACCCTTTCCTCCTCAAGTTGCTTTTTAGTCATGGTGTTTATCAAAGCAACAAAAAGATAACAAGTCTCTCTCTCTCTCTCTCCCTCTCTCTCTCTCATATACATATATATATATGTGTGTGTGTGTGTGTGTGTGTGTGTGTGTGTGTGTGTGTATGAATTTACCTTTGAGTATTTTCACTTGGCTAAACCATTGTGATCACCATGTGAAGTTTACTCTTACTCTTTGACTCCAGTCCACTCACAAAGGAGCTAAGTCTGGTTGCATACCCACTCACAGACACAAAGAAACATGGCAAGCTGGCCTGGCACCATGGAACTTAGAGAGGAGAGCAAGGCCAGAGCTGCCATCCACAGACCTTCACACACAGTAAGGAGCCAGAGGCTAAACACAGATTGTCTCCAGGAAACTGAGCCAAGGTTCTAGCTATGGTCAGAACAACAGAGAAGAAGGAATGGGAACAGGAAGCGGCTCAGAAAACTCCCACAGTTAGGCAGAAAGGCATTTGGGTGTTCCAGAGAATGTGTGATTTGATCAAGATGGGATAAGACCTGTTGTCTGAATTAACCCCACAACTTAGCATCAATAGTGTCCAGGATGGAGATAAACAGGGAAAATAAAACTTTTTCCTTAGACACTATTATTTGATTAATGGCCCATTAATTGAAAGTATTTAATTATGTAAAGAGCAACATAAACACAGAACAAAATAACGCATGATTTGTGTCGTTCAGCAAACAATTATCAAGTGAACATCCTTTCAACTATTTCCATATGAATCAAAGAATGATGCAACTGTGCCAGCCGATTGCACGCTGTTTCGAAGGCACACAGCCAGGGTTCTTAAATCCCTGGTTATTTGCTACTGCGGCATAAATTGGTAAACAAACACCGGTCTCCTGAGTCTTATCATGTACACTCACTGTTTCCTTCATACCTAAAGCACAACTTACATTCCCTCATTATTTTATTCAATTAAGACTTATTTCCTTTTAGTTTTATACCCATTATTATGAAAAGTTTTGTGGAAACTGTGAAGATATTGAAACATAGAGTGTCATATGAGAACTTTCTTCTGGGGGGTTATGTCTTAGGCAAAGCTGTGTATACTTTCCCTAAGAAGCTGAGTGTTTGGAAAGGGTAGGAGGGGTGAGGAGAGATCGATGTATACATATCACGTCTCCCTTTTCACTTTCACCCGGAATCCTAGACCAGTCTTGAAACTTAATTCTAGGGGTTCACTTGAGTTCTACTTTTATGCCTGGCCATGACTTTCTACTGTGGTTCTTATTTCTCTAGGACTGATTTATAGGTTACTATTTTAAAGTCTGTGTTTATTATTATAAGTGACCTCATGTACTTTGAAAAAAATTGAAGCAAGATCTGAATAAAAATTAAATAAAACAATGATCAAAAATTTTAAAAAATTACCTAGCCCTATTTTTAGAAGAACAGGACAAAACAGTCTTGGGCAGATAATTTGTGGGGAAGAAGCATTGGGAAGCTTCATTCATTTAATTACTTATTTGTATATTTTAGTTTTGAGAGCTTTTGATTTTGAGAATTCATGATAAAAAAAAAAAAAAGCATTCAATTAAGGAGGTAACCTAGTAGTAGAGCACTTTCGAAGTGTGCCCAAGAGCCTAGGTTTGGTCATAGCCCTGAAAAGGCAAAGCAAACAAACATTCTTTGGAAGGTTAACATGTTAGACTTTATCATGTTGCAGCTTCCTGGGTACCCACTCCTATGTGCAGAATTGTGTATGAGATTCTGTGAGAAAGAAAAGACACAGAAAGGGAGGTAGGGTAGAGTTGAGGACTAGCTTCACTTTGTATTTATCAACATGACTCTGAAGCCTCAGGCCACGTTTTACCATTTCTTTATCAAACCTGGAGACCATCTGCTTCCACCGTCCTGAAGGGATAACTCCAGTAATGGAACTTTATTCTGCAAGAGAAGCCTTTGGCCAGAATGCAGCCAACTTTCAGTTCATCTTAGTGTAACAACACAAAAGTTTTGTTATTCAACCTAATTCAGCATCAGAATCCCAAAATGTAGGTGGAGTCAGTGATAAAAATCATAGTGTTACTAAAAATATTAACCCTGGTGTCTGAGAGATGACTTATGGGATGGGTGGGACTAGAGGCATGATTCCATAGTGAAGAAGCCATGCTGCTCTTCCAGACGACCAGAGTTCTGCTCCAAGCACTCACATCTGGAAGCCCACAACCAACCACCAGTAGCTGCAGCTCCAGGGGGCTCCAGCACCCTCTTTTGGCCTCTGTAGGCCTCTGCATTCACTTGCACATACCCATACAGAGACACAGAGACATATGCTTAAATGAAAAAAATTCAGTTTAAAATTTATTCTTTTGTTTTGTTTTGTTTTGTTTTTTGAGACAGGGTTTCCCTGTGGCTTTGGAGGCTGTCCTGGAACTAGCTCTTGTAGACCAGGCTGGACTCGAGATCTGCCTGCCTCTGCCTCCCAAAATATAAAATTGATTCTTTAAGGGCTGGAGAGATGGCTCAGAGATTAAGAGCACCGGCTGCTTTTCCAGAGGTCCTGAGTTCAATTCCCAGCAACCACATGGTGACTCACAACCATCCATTATGAGATCTGGTGCCCTCTTCTGGCCTGCAGATATACATGGAAGCAGAATATAGTATACATACTAAATAAATAAAATCTTTAAAAATTGATTCTTTAAGGAAAATATTATCCCTGGTTAAATCTGAATATCATATGTGAGCTGAATGCCACCTGCTATTCATCCTGTGAAAACTGTAGAGTATGTTCTATGGATACATACAGAGGGTAGATTCCCAAACATGTCTATGTGAAAAGAATGTCTATTCCCTAGGATTTGGTTGAAATCAGTTGAATGGGCATGGTTTGAGTTTCTACTCTCTTCAAGGTCATTTGTAGGGTGACTTGCGTGGTTCTCAAAAACTCCTTGAACCTCAGAAGCAGAACGTTGAGAGTGGCAGCTAAGCTCGTCCTTTTGGCTGATGTCTATCTTACAGTAACTGGCGTGAAGAGGGCACCAGACTTACCCCTGGAAAGAAAAGGGGAAAGTGAGGTTAAATAGAATTCAACATGCACCGAATGCGCTGAAAGGGGAAGGGGAGGGGGTGGGATTAACTTCTCCTAGCTCTTGATTTGGCCTAGCCACAGCCCTGGTTTTCCAACTTCTCTTTTCCTGGAAATAGCTATTCAGTCTTAAAATTAATACTAAAATCATCATCGCCTGGTCTCTGCTAATCATCCAGTAGGATCTTCTCCAGGTCACACCTGCATTCAAATGAATACTCTCTGTAGAGAATTCTATGCCAGCCCAAGGCTGTAACTTCTTCCTGGCCACTTCAGCGGTTCTATCCTTGTATCTCTGCTGTTGTTTTCTTTTCTTTTTTGGATTTGCTTCATTTTTAATTAGTGGAGGGGAGAGGATCTATGTGAGTGCAGATGCCTATAGGGGCCAGAGAAGGGCATTGGATCCTTTAGAGGAGTTGTGAGCCACTCAACATGGGTGCTGGAAACCCACAGGGGCTTGTTCCTAAACTAATGAGCCATTTCTCCAGTTCCCAACACCCAAATTCAAGAGTCAGAACTATTCCTCTTCTCTCCCAAGCTCATCCTCCAACTGTATCCACTTCCCATCCCTTTGCTCTGCTGGTATAAGACCTTGACCTTGATACCACCTGTTGTTCATGCTCCCAAATCTCCAGTTTCACCATTTGTAGTGACTTCACTTCATCTTGTAAATCAATGAACCCAGCTGTCTACTACTCTAAACATTCTGTCAAGGACACCTCTGAAGGCAATGAGATTATGTGCGAGCGCGCGCGCGCGCGCGCGCACACACACACACACAC